GGGGGGGGGGGGGGGGGGGGGGGGGGGGGGGGGGGGCAGGGGCAGAGAGGGCTAAAAAGAGCACTGTTAAGAAAATGCGTAGTTAACACAAAAATATTTCAGCATTGGTCGCTCCGGTCGTTTTGGGCGTAAGGGTGTAGCAATCAATTTTATCACGGAGTCGGACCTGCGAATGATGAAAGATATAGAAAGCTTCTATAACACACAGATTGAAGAGATGCCAATGGACATCGCGAATTTGCTCTAAAACGAACATTTGAAAATTAATAATGTGATGGGATAGAATTGATTTTTATTATATTATTTTCATCCCGTGCACTTCTTCATTGTCTAACGCGCTATTATCGCTCACTCTTTTGCGTCATCCCTGTTTGACACATATTTTGGTTCTTTTTTTTTTTGATAACAAAATTCATGAAAAATTTGATCCGCAAATATTTTTTGCGTTGATGACGGGTTTTTTGATCACTCGGTTGTTCTCTCTTTGGCCATAATGAAAGTATCGAAACGCCTGGCATAATTCCCACAATATCTTATTTTCCTCTTAGGCTACAAGGGGTCTGTTTGGCTTGTGTTTTTGCACCGTTTTCGTTTGTTTTTTTTTTTTTTTTTTATGCTCTGATTTTGGAACGATTTTAATTTTTGCTTGTGCGTGTTGATTTCCCATTGTTATACCCTGTTTTCCCTATTTTTTTTTCCCGAACTTTTGTTAATCAAAAAAGAAAATAAGCATGGGCGTGTTGGAATAACTGAATGAATGTGAGTGGTTTAAGTAGTGTAATCGCTGTCTCTTCTCTCTCTCTGCCCCTTTTTTTCATCTTATTTCTTGTTTGTTAAGAATAATATTTTCGAAGTAAGTTGTTACAAAAACTCACTTTTTTTTCGAACAGAACACATCTAGCCTTGAGCTTACCATCCTAATGTACCATGTGGCAGGACTGGGTGAAACCTTCGGTGGCTTGGGAGCAGTGCAGCAGCGCCAATTCATTTTATCGCTGACAAATTTGGCCGTGATGCGGATTTTATTTCGCCGTCGGCGTACGATAAAGTCGAAATCGTACAGGAATGATCGTTCGGGATGGCATATTTTTGGTGTCAGACCTTCCCAGAAATCTCTCCCAAAGTGTAACAAAGACACCTCGTCATTCATGGGAGCAGCGAATCTGGGCAACTTTACCCGGATCTGAGTAAAACGTTCGCTTTTCGAATCTATTAGTTATTTTTGGCGACACGAAACTGGCAAAGCGTTTGGAAGCACGTGAGGGTTGACGGACATCTTCAACCTGTTTGTCATGCAGTTTGGTATTAAAGAGGTAGGAGCAGCTTTCTGGTCCAGTAGTGGACAGGTAAAAGTACTGCCTCTCCAGCGGTACTCGCCTACCTTCATACGAACAGAGAAATAGTGTGCACGGTACAGCAGATTGCGTTCAGATCGGATTTGCTGGATTGTTACCGTTCTGCCAGCTCGAGGCGTTGATACCTAGCGGGTCTCGTTAGTAATCAGTTAAGATCATTCGAGAAGACGCAAAAATTATGTGCATCTGTCGACTTTACGTTGTAGCACGCGGATATTTTGGCGAGACGTTTTTTTGCATCCGAAAACCGACAAGACGGGGAACGAGAAGTTTGAAACGATGGTATGGGAAATTTTAAGCTCAGAAAGCTTAGAAAACGGACGAAATGGCTGAAATTGAAAATGTTTTCTGCTAGTGTACAAACTCAAAACTTAAATTCGGCCTTCAGGTGCTCCTGTGTTTTACACAGGGGTGTCGCGAATGCGAGGAAACAATGCTGATCGATTATGGCAATATATTCGCCGCTCAGCGAGATGGGCGGGAATGCACTTTAGGCATATCAACAAGGGGTTCATCGCCGGAACCTTCGCAATTCGGAAGAAACGGTACGAGGAGCGGTGGCGTATCGCAACAGCAGCGAGTTCGAGGGAAACGGTTCGAGGAGCCGGCTGATCACAACACCGGCGGATTCGGAAGAAACGGTTCGAAGAAGCGGACATCGCAGCAGCGGCGGATTTGGAAGAGGGAGTTCGAGGAGAAGCGGGTGATTGGGACAGCGGCGGACTTGGCGACGGCAGCGGTACTTTGCAACAGCAGCGGTACTTCGCGACAGCGGCAGCTTTGGAAGACTGTTGGTGATTATTTTGAAGTGTTCGACTCAGAGATAAATCTGTACTCGATAATTTTGCCACAAGCTGTTTCGAGTACAAGGGGCAGGTGAAACTGTTTTGTGTTAAATCTCGCAATTTAGCAATCAACTGTTTGTATAAAGTGGAAATTTTTAGCAGTGGGTGCCACCATTCGAAATTGCACAGAACGCATGATCACACCGGCTCTCTTGATTTGCGCCACCATTTATATATTTTTGGGATAATCGCTGAAGTACTTGAATAGACTTCAGTAACACAAAGGTCATTACATGTTCTTTTGTAGAATTGGAGCCCCATAAATCTAAATATCACTTCTGCCTAATATGAGATGAACCGTTATTCTTCTTCTTTTGGCTGTTATAGAGAACAATAATACTTTAGGGCAGAGCAGATCTCACATTTCCAGCAGCAATACATCGGTTATTAAATTTTAGGAGATGCAAAATACATCGACATAGCCATGCATGCTGTATGTGCGATTCTCGTAGCTTTTTATGAGCTCGGAAAGACTTGGCAGTGTCGGGCCACCATGCTCGATGTAGTAACTTCGGATTTTGAATTCGTTTTGCTTCGTTTTCCTGAAAACATAGTTTGCGATACTTCTCATTTGTCAGATTCTCTTCAACGATCTTCAGCTGTACAGCCAAAAAATTCTGCGCATGGGGCAACAGTGGCAGATTTAGTGCGACATATAATCTTCTAGATTTGGCGCAGATGCTTAATCAGGTAGGTTTGAAGTAAAATGCTGTTCGCTCGATGAGTGGGATCTTATCCTTTTCATCGCATATATCGATATTAAACTTCGTTTAATTTCAATTGCCCTAATTTCGTTACCACAGTCGTCCTACTGATGAGATCCAATTGTGGAAACGGCAAGAAATGTATACGACTTAATGGGCCGAAATATTTCTTACCAGTTTGTAATATATTTTTTCCCTTCCTTCTTTTGTGCTTGCACATTACTTTCTCTTTTAAAATTCACCTGTTCTGCGTGCGGAAGAGGGTCTAAGTTAAGGCGGATGAGAACGTAAAACAGCAAGAACCGTTAATTACGTTGGAAAATTGTAGATTGGTGCAGGCAGCGGGAGTGCGGTAAACTATTATAAATTATAGTAAAATCATGGTTTTTCTTAGAAATCTGAGAAGCTGTAATTATCAGCGCAATCTTTTTCTTCCTGAAACCCTCAGATTTTGGCTTTGCTTTTAAAAAATTTCGCATGCTTGTCAGAAACCAATTGTTATAAACAGTAAAATACTTTGCTCTTTCTGTTAAAATTTTAGCCAAAAAATTTGCACGGTTTTTCCAGCTGCTTGTTCACCTTTCAAAAAAGACACAGATTTAAGTATCCTCGCCATTCAAATCTTACGGACTTGTAACGATGACAAGCAATTTTGTTGGGCTGCACAGTTTGCGCTTTTCTGTTTAAACGGTCAATGAAAAATTGAAAATTAAAAAGATTCTGCTAAAATCAAGCAGATTTCGTACGGGTTTTCGGTCAAATCGCCCATTGTTCGAACGAGCCAATGGAAGTTATGCCCGCACGATGAGCGATACACCACTACCAGCGGCAGTCGGTCAATTTTATTCACCATCGTCTGGAAAACTCGCATATTAGTGGAGTTGAAGTACGACTACAGCAGTACATAGACAGCTGTGATAGTGCTTGCAAAAAATATATATTTGCACTACTGATATTTGTGGAGCATAATTTCGGCTGAACTGCGAAGCTATCTTTGAAGTTAACATTAGTGA